TCCCCTGCAGTTCTCTGCCAAATACTAGAACTTCCTAAAATTATTTAAATCTATGGAATACAAAATGGTTTAGTACCAGTTCCACAGAGAAGTATCTGGGACTGCAGCTGACCAGAACTGCCCAATGTTGTACAGCAAAAAATAAACACCACACAACCGTGTCTGGTTGCCCAAGGGAGGCCTCAATGTCCAGTTTGGACACTTCAGGGAAGATGTACTCATCAGCTGTAGAGATCTCAAAGAATAATAATGACTTGATGCCTAGAAAACATTACCAAAGGACGGAAGATTAAGTCATATTAGTAAAAAAATTCTAAAATTTGAGCTAATTAATCACCAAACTGCCCAACCCAGAAAGTCTGTAGAGCAGCTGGTATTGAAGATACCAATAGGGTAAGCAACCAGAACTACTGCTTGCCTTCCCTAGGGCCTGGCAGTCAGATTAAATAGATAATTTCCAGCCCTACGTCCTCTCATTATTGCCAAGATTTAGGTTATTAGATGAAAACTAATTCCATCAATGTAACTAGCACTTACATCTGACAAAGTGACCTTTTAAAACAGCTAAAATAATTACTCTGCAACAAAACCTTCCAGAACATTTACCAGCTCAAGACATACAGAAGTCTAATCCACAAGTTACCTGGGGTTGATACTGGAAAAGATAAAGGCATCTTTTTCACACTTTTATTGGAAGCAAAGTGTATTTTACACAGAAAAACACTCTGAGGAGGTTCCTTGCAGCCCCACTTATCGCGCAGGACTCCCTGCTGTATTCACGCACACTCACCACATGCGTGGTATAAAGATTTAGGTTCCTCAAAATGGCATCAAATTATCACCCAAGTGGATATGCTAATGCTGCAGATCTTAACAAGCCAATTGAAATTAAAATAATTACATCTTTATACTAGCATTAAAATGAGCACTATCAGAGCACATACAGTTTTCGGTCATCTACTGAAGTCAGGACAATTTGATACAAGGCGAAGAAAATCTACTTCTCTTGTCTCAGTGAAAACATATAATCCTAATTCAGATATGGAATTAAAAGTTAATGATTTAGCAACTGTTTTAAGAATGTACACGTTATGCTCTGAGAGATAATAGCTATTCACTAAAATTGTACTTCCAAATCTAGCTTTCCTTGAAAAGCTGTTCAAATGCTCTTATGCTGTCTGCAAGAGAACACTGCATGCACAGCGTTATTCTCAGCAGCTTGTGTCATTTGTCCAGATATTTGGCATTTATTCACATACCTACTACATGCAGCCCCTGTTTGTGCCACATAAACTCTGCCAGGACCACACTAGAGACACCTACAGTGGCAGGTCAGTCTCAAGATTCAGCATTGCACCAAACACTGCAATTTCAGTGGTGTTAATGTACTGAACAGAGGAGCAACATGAAGAATTAAAATGTGATGCTGTAATTTTCTAAACCAATACAAACACTGCTGGCTCCCTCTGGTGCTAAATATAATGCAGTGTTACATACTAAGCTGCCAGAGAAATAAGGCAATGATATAATCCAATTATTTTGTACCGTTGGTGACAGACATGGTAATAACAGTTGCAGCAGCAGATTTTCTCTTACAGACTACATCCTTAAGTCCTCATTCATGGCCTGTACAACAGTTCTTATGTGGAAAAAAGAGACACACCTTTAAGAAGTGCCACTGTGTTCTGGTACACACACAAAGAGCAGGCTTGCTTGCTTGCACCGTGTTTTCACTTCCTGAAAGCAGTCTTCCCCTCATTTTCATAAGAGAAGACTTGAAAAACATTTCAGGTTTCTACTTATTAAATTAGCAGTGACCCCTAGAGTAGTTTTAAAAAGCAAACCCAAATCACTTTTAAACCAAATCATTTAGGCTGTGAACTACTTAACTAAATGCTGAACAGACTATACAAAATACATCAATTTAATTTATCTGTTGCTAAATCTGCTGTTCAACACAGTATACAGATAAAAAAATCAAGGTACTTGTTCTTTTCACTGGCTCAAGTGGCTGTTTGGGATTTTAAAAACTTAAAAATGCTTGAATTTCTAGTGACACACTGAAGTATTCACATATTATTATTCACACTATTAAGCATTATTTCTTGAATTTTTTTGTAACTGTTGGAAACTTACTTGCAACTATTCCTATCTATTTCCAATGCAAAACAAGGAAATTTAATAGTCTAATCTGGAAGGGCTTAATTTTTTTGCCTTTTTATCTTTGTGTGGAAAGAAGGGAAGCAGGCAGCGTATTTCACTTTCCTTCTGCTCTTCCTCCCTTTTTTTATCAAGATAAAAGTACAACAGCCTAAAGCCATTTCCTACTTATTAACAGATTTAAGTACTGCTATGAAGAACAAGGTGGGGGATGTTAACCTCCTCCACTTCCTTGACAAGTGGGACACCAGTACAATTCCCAGCAAGAGTGTTTAACTCTAGAAAAAAGGTAAATGACCCTGTGGGTGAAAGGGAGGCTGGTGACAAGGGCAAGCGGGAGGTGTTCCTGGTGTGCCTCTTTTCATCCAGCTGTTCCTTGTACTTGTCAGCAGCAAATAGCTGGGCCCAGAGCACTGTACCAGCTGTACCAGCACTGTCCTGCTCCTCTGGCTACTAGGCAGCAAGAGGTTAACACATTTCTCCTGAGCTTCTGTCCCCTCAACCACCACTTTGTAAATTCAGCATATGACTTAAGGAAACTACACCTTTTAAAACTCATAACCTTTTAAAACAGACGTACAAAGGGCCCTCTCAGCAAACACCTACTACCTAACCTCAGTCAAAAAATTACTTTCTTCTACATTTCCCCAAAGCATGAATTCTGTAATTTAACTACCACCATGTTGAATTAACTACACTTCAGCAAACTTTATGTTTTTAATTTTAGGTCACAATTCCCAAAGAAATTCGAACTCTGAAAAGAAGTTTAAATTAAGCTCAGGAAGACCAAGAGCTGGAATACTTAGGTTTACTCCCAAACACCATTCTGAAGCTCAGTGCAAGAATGCCTTGTGCTCCCATGTGCTAAATATAGGTAATAACACATTTTCACTTAGTGCTGCTTTGTGCCTTGGAGAAAGGTAGTTTTCACACTTAAGCCAATTAACACCACATCTAATAAGAAATGTAACACTAGTGCTTTTTAATGGAGCTCCATTTCAAGGTTTTTGCACAGAAGATATGTAGCATTTTCTTTATGAGTGAGATCAAAAGTGGTTTTATTTGTCACAGAAAGCACAACCTCTTCTGAAGAAATGAAAAAAAACAATCTGTTGTAAAAACTTTGTAAATATGCAACATCAATTTGTACTAATCTTAAAAATACACTGATTTTAAATGTTTTTATTAATTGTAAAGTAACTTTTCAGGCAAATAATTTACTCAAATGGGATTCAATACTCAAAGAAGAGCCTGTTCTGTGATGTATTGCTACACGGTGTTGTTACAAATTACAACATTAACACCAGGTATCTACTTGAAAATGTAACATCACTTAAGTGGTCTATTCCATTTCAATAGCTTCCAAAATGTATTTTGCCTTTTCATCTGAATGAAAAGAAATCTAAACTGAGTGAATCCCGAAAGAACTGTATTCATTATCAATAAGTCACACAAAAGAAATTACTTGTACAAAAAAAAGAACTAGCGCACTGCCACTGGGTATCAAGAGATAGTTTTTCTTCCTCCATATGGACAGTATCAAATAACATTAGCTAGCAGTCAGGTTACAGTCACTTCAGAAACTTCTCCCTTGACTATAAACACATTTCCATTGTGAGAAGAGCAACACCAACTGCATTTTTAGCAGCCAGTGTTTAACAAGCCTTCATGTGGAATGCACAGGAGAAGCTCAGCAGAGGCACTGAAGACCACCCCAGCCACCATGAGCGATGTCCTCACAAACAATGCTGACAGCTTGGGCCCCAGGAGGTGGACTGCAGGTTTGCTACTGCAGCATTACTGCTGACATAGCAAGCCTGAAAAACACCACTGTAATTTAAATGGCCTTTAAGCAGCTGATCAAAAGGCTCTGACAGAGGAGATGTAAACAACAGCTAAAGATGTTTCCATTTTAACTTCTTGCCCCCTTGGGAGATCACCACCTCCGCAGGAGAGCTGGCAGAGTGGGATGGTGATCCCATGCCTCAGTTCCCAACTGCATCCCATCTTTGCTGCTGCAGCAGCTGGTAAACACACACTAACATCCTACATCAACTGGGAACCCAGTGCCAACTTCCATCGCTGAAATGCCATCACAGGTACTGCCCAGAGTGCTAAGGGACAGAAACACCTTTCAACCACTGCAATTCCTCATTCTGTTGCAATAGAGGAATGAACTGATCTTGCACAAGCATAATCATCCCGGTACTAGAAACTTAACAGTGGTGAGTTGCTATTAAGGCCCATTCAGATTGACAGCAATTCTAATAAGAGGTTATATATTTATTGGCATAAAGATAATGAATTTAATTATTTAACATTTTTTTATCAGAACAATTTGTATGAGGATTTGAATAGGATTTTACTGTTGAATATTACTACAAAGGCCAGTTTCTCAGAGTTTTATCAACTGGCTGCAAATATATTGAATTTCTGTACTTGTGATGGAAAAGAAAATCAGCCCAGTGCAGCTGTACAGTTTTCATCTTGCAATTCACTTCCAAGACCTTACAAGCAGAAAGATGTCCTATACAAACCTGCAGTCTGGTAAGAAGCTAAGAGGGGAACCTGACAGCAGAAGTGGCTGTTGGATTCCCTGTTCCTTTTCCACTCCAGAGGCATTAAACCTCCTAAATACATTTCCAACTTTGTGTAAGACTTTAGGCCAGCTGCCAGTCTTCTCTCCTAGCAGGATAAGCTCCTACACATTTGTGCATAAACAGTGGTTGGATTGAAACCTAACAATTTCACTGAGTAAGTACCTCTCCTGAAAGCCAGCTTTTACACTCTAGCTTTTACTTCATCTAATCTAATGAATGCAGCAGGAGCTGGATACTTACCTATCAATCACAAACTCCTTCTGTCTTAGCAGCCCTTCTTTAATTTTCATTAGAGATTCCCAGTTGCTGGAGTCCTGATAGCTGGTAGCTGGGTAACTTGAACGAGATGTTCCAGGTGAAACCTGCATAAAATAATTTTAACATTAGCCCCCAAAACAGTGGAAGTAAATAATGTCCTACATATTACAGCATTTCCAAAGTGGTTTGTTCCTACAGAAACCTAAACACCGTTTTTCAGTTTAATTCAGATTTGCTTTGTATAAAACAACTGGATTTATAAACAAGTTTCTGGAAACAAACTTCAGCTCAGTGTCACTGATTTTATCATTTCTCTACTGAACAATTCATAGCTGTGAACACAGTTTGGAATGAAAAGCTGATTTAGAAATAACTACATCATCTCAACTCCCACCTGTAACGATGGTGTACAGAGAAATTTCCCTCAGTGTTTGTGCACTTTCAATACGGAATATGGGAACATAATTCTGGCCAAATTGTAAGAGAATAAAGCTTTCACAACTAACAGATTTCAGGCTTTCTATTAATTTTCACAAAAACCAGGCTTCATGTCTCACAACAAACTGAAGGCAACAACTGAACTGAATATGAACCAACAAACATCATGGTTCAGAATAAAAGTAAAAAAGCCTGGGACATTTCATTAGGAAAGCATTCATTAAAATTTATTACAAATATTTGCATCAGGAATTCACATAAGGGAAGGTTTAAACTAGAACTTCTGAGATCAAGCTCAGGGATCCCAGCATCATCAATTAGAAATTATTAATCATCAGTTAGAAATTATTAAGAAAACAAACAAAAACCGAACACCAAAAGACATCAACAGTTCTACATATTAAATACTGCATGCCAATTAAAACCAAAATCTAATCTGGTGATTTTTTTGTTGTTGTTATCCAATAAAACTCAGGAAAGATACCTAGTCATGATTTTTCTTGTAAGTAACACACATGTACAGTTTTTACAGTTTAAGGAAGCTAAAGCTTATTTTGCCTGGGTTGCTCCATCCAGACCGCATCACTTCAAAATCATTTCTGGTGTTTACAGAATGCCTTGGGATTGTCACATACTGTTTTGTATTAGTTATACATATGACTGGCTGAATTGAGGCACCAGGACAAATGTATTACAGTGAAAGTCTCTCTTAGTGACTTATGCCATATCATGCAGTACAAAGTGACAACATCAGGAACCATCACTGGACTTTGTGTTATGATTTTTTTTCCCTTTGTTTTTCCCACTACAGTGCTGATGAATGCTTTCCTACATCCACCTCAACACCATTACACTACAGTGAAAAAGAAGAAAGAAACAGTCCTTATTGCAGCTGGGATTAGACCTTTACTTTTCAGAGCCAGAATTTCTTTACTCAAAAGAAAACTCACAAGCATTTGACATGATGAATAGGAAATATATGGCTTCATAAAGCCAAATTAATTTATTGATCATAATGAATTTTGTCTTTAAGACTGAACTATAAAAATGAAGAGATTAAAGACAACTATTTAAATATGAACCTATCTTAAATCATTTGGGAAGTTACTGGTGGTTTCTCTATGAGAATTCTTCAATGCAAGACCCTTACTTGAATCTAGCACCTCTGCAAACAATAATTTGCAATAAAATTAAAAAAAAAAAACCCTTCAAATTTGGTACAGTAAGTAATTATACAAGTCAAATATTGTAGCTGCTGAAAAGCAATGCATTGAGTTTTGCAAAGTTAAGAATAGCGTGATATTTTGTGAATTATATGCCAACAGTAGTGTGTTAGTTTGGTGTTTTTATTAAATCTAAAATGTAAGTCCTCCATAGATGACTCACTGAGATGCTTCAACTTTGGAATACACCCAATCCTATGGAGTATATATATGCTGCATACATATACGTAACAACAAATAAAATACTATTTTATTTATCATACAATTGTGTGCTTCAATTTTTCACTCTGAACAAACGGAAAGAGAAACAAAAATGCTTGATATCATGTTTCATCCAATTAAAAAAAAGAGAAAGAAAAAGAATATTCTAAAAATACTTCTTAGCACATCCCAAAATAACAAGACACTTCACTCATTTATGAGCACATGGTGTTGACTACTACAAACAGCTTTCTAGCTGCTTTGAATTGTGTGGTAGCACACAGGCAGTCCGCTTACGTGTGAGTATCTTGTCTCCTAAGGATATCGAACCAAATAGTGAGACCAGATACACTTCCAGGAGTCATATTTAGAAAGCCATCCACAACTCCAAGCCCTTAACTTGAATCATCCACAACTACAAAACAAAATACCATCTGGAAAGACACAGCATTCTTTTCTATCTGTCCTACGAAACACAACTATTTTTGTCACCTGGCACCTCTTCTGAGAGTATCAGCCTTGTCCTGAGAACACATGTTCTGTTAGAACAGTATTCTTTGCACAGTGACTTCCAAAGGTCCTCACTAGCTTGTTTTGTGACAAAGGCTTGGCAAACCTTCATGTCACTGCTGAGGCAAAGTCAGCTGCTGGGGAAAAAAATTAAAGTAAGAAATCTTTGCTGTACTAACCTAATACTGCTGGAACCGACATTTCTGACTGGTAGTTTTATGTTTATTATGAGTGGAAAGACAATTTTTCTTTAGACAGAGTGCAATAAGATTTCAATAACTGAGGTCAAATATGGCTGGGTTTTTAATTGTGCAAATTAAAATTGTCTTCTCAAACATGCCCATAGCTTCTGCCTGAAGCAGATCAATGTCTCAGCACACAGAGTAGCCCAGCATTCCATGTAACGTGCTGTATCACATCAAATGATGTCATTTACTATATCACAAAGTAAAGGTGAAGTCCAAAAATGTCAATATATACTTAATCTCAAGGAAAAAAGAAAAAACCAAAAAACAAACACAAAAACCCCAATGGATCTGAAAGGGTTTTTTCATGAAAGCTGCAACTTGAATAATTTAGTGCTGGTGCTGTCCACACTACAGCTGTAAATTTTCACAGTCCATTACTAACAACTAGCAGAGCACCAAGAATTATGCCAGGTGAGTGATCCCTTCTGGACAATTCTTACACTGCCCTACACTACAATAAACTCCTGTCCATAGGGATCATTCTTCTCTTGCTGCATTTTACAGGCATTGCTCAACAGAAAGATAATTCCTTGCATCCACAGCTAATCCAAGGTAAAGTATCAATACAAAACAATATTAGCAGGAGCTAAGGATTCCTTTTTTGACTGACAGTGAGGAAACAAATGTGGATGACCCCCCAGGGATATCACTGGATAGATAATGTGGGAGAAAGAAGAGGTGGATGTGGTAGCAGCAAGCCCAAATGCACTCTTGTCACAGAGATGCCTCCTGCTTATGGGTCACCCGTGATAGGAAAATATTTAAACCTGCACAGGCAGAGCAGCAGTCACTGGGGAGCTCGGTAACTGCTCCCCACTCTAGGAAAAATTATGTACCCATCCCTTCCTCCCCACCCAGATTTCTTCCTAACATCAAACTGAGCGTTTCAGCTCAGAACATCTCTGATAATTTAAACAATCTCAAAACATCGGTCATCCTTTTGCAGGTGAAACATGACAAGGATGGTGGCTCTCATGCAGGAAAAGCAAAACAAGACCCTAATTTTAAGGAATGATTTAAAAAGAAAGGCTGTGCCTTACAGAAATGCACTAGAAGAGCAGCTACAAAACTGAATCCTCCACAATGTAACAGTTTCTGAGCTGGTACACACAAGAATTCCTAATTTGTGGTATCTGTATCTCACCACCACCTACCTACTGCTCTACTCTGTTCCATCTTTGCCTTTTAGGGAAGATAGTGTTTCTGCTCAGCAGGATATAATCACTACAATTCTTGGCAGCAACACCTAGGCTATATCACATTTTGCCTATGCTTTCACAAATTTCCAGTAGTCACAGGGGGAAGAACATCTAATCATGCCCTTGCACTTTTATTCCAGCCATGGTATATATGGCATTTTTGGGGGAATTTCTTTAATGTGGAAAACATCATTAAAATCAAAATTGAAAGACCATCAAATGGTGAGGAACTCAGAAATACAGGTGTATTGTAGAGAGGTTAGCAGTGCCAACAGCAAAATAAAAATCAATAAGGCTTTGAAAAAAATCCCAAACATATACTTTATATAGACGTGCAGCCTGCAAAGTAGTTAATATAACAGAGACCACAACTAACAGGGAAAAATACACTCGACAGGAGTTTACAATTTAACCTGCCTGAAAATCAGCTTAATGCAAGTCAGGATTGCCTGTATATGGGATGTCAGGTGACAGAAAAAGGGGTTGAGGAAAGGACAAAGCAGTGACTTTAAAAAGCTCTGGCATAAACCCAGTTGCAAGACTATGTCTGGTAGTACAATGTGAGGAACCAGAAAGTCACTGGAACAGTAAAACATGCCCAAAGAGGAGAAACTTTCATGGCTAAAAAGCTTAGAAAGAGTGATTTATGATAAAGAGCGAAATACCACAAAGACTGAAGAGACATGAAATAAGATAGCAAATACCTTGTTTCTTAGATTGAGAGTCCACGTAAACAAGGTTGATGGAATGAAAATGGAGATATGGCAATCTGGGATTACAGTATCAGGAGAAAACAAACAAAGAAAAACCAGCAAACAACAAAAAAACCCAGAAAACCAACTAAAGAGATGGAGAAAGGTAGCAAAAGCATATCACAAACAACTGAGAGAAAATCCAAACTTTAAGATTTTAGAATCTGCACTGGATTAAGTTTAGGAATTGAAGGGTAAGCCAGTCCTTACTTGATGACACATCAGGACTTACTTTGAGTTAGGGTTAAATTATGTATTCATGTGACACACTGACTACACTATGCCAGGAGTAGAATAATCACCGTTAGGCATCAACCTCATTGACAAAAATTCAAGAATCAAAATTCATTTTAAAAGGAATCACCTCAAAGATATATTTATAGCCAGAGCTGAACTGCATGGATGTCACATCTGTTATATGACTTTTTAAAGCTTTTCCAATAAAAAAATTAAAATGCTAATGCTATTCACAGACACCACCACTATAATCATAAACTTTAAGAAAGTGGAAAGCTTTCAAAATGGAGAAGAAT